CAATGGGCCTGCATCGCTCACCTGGTATTAATCTCACACTTGTAATCTTAAAAGTGGACTAAAATACAGTTACAGGCAAAATATCAGTGTTTCATTCATAAGAACCTATTAAAAGATTTAAACATATGACACCTGTGACCTTGAATGTCGAACAAGGACATTATAATATTAGGTTGAACAGAGTTTATAGTCTTCCGACCGAGCATGCTTCTGGAAAAATATCATTACCCTGGACCTTTTGGTTATACAGAACAAATCATTTAAAGATTTAAACATATATTGACCACTGTGACCTTAAATATGGGCGAAGGTCATTCACTTGGTAGTCCTTCATCCCAGAATGTTCATGGCCAAATATCATCACCTTGGCCTTTTGCTTATTAAGAAGAAATTATTCAATGGTTTTAAACATATTTGACCCCTGTGACCTTAAAATATAGATGTCAAGGTCATTCATTTGAACTTGGTAGTCCTTCATCCCAGCATGTTACTGGCATTATCCTAGGCCTCTTGGTTATTCAGAAGTTGTTTAAATGTTTAAAACATATTTGCCCTCTGTGACCTTGAATATAAGTCAAGGTTATTTATTTGAACAAACTTGGTAGCCCTTCATTCCAGCATATTACTGCCCAAATATCATCACCCTAGGCCTCTCGGTTATTCAGAAAAAGTTGTTTAAAGGTTTTTAACATATTTGACCCCTGTGACCTTGAAAGTGGGTCAAGGTCATTTATTTGAACAAACTTGGTATCCCTTCATCCAAGCATGTTACTGGCCAACTATCATCACCCTTGGCCTCTTGGTTATTCAGGAGAAATTGTTTTTATGTTTTTAACATATTTGACCCCTGTGACCTTGAATATAAGTCAAGGTCATTTACTTGAAAAATCCTGGCAGCCCTTCCCAGCATGTTACAGGCCAAATGTTATCACCCTAGGCCTCTTGGTTATTCAGAAGAAGGTGTTTAAAAGATTTTAACATATTTGACCCCTGTGACCTTGAAAATTGATGAAGGTCATTTATTTGAACAAACTTGGTAGCCCTTCATCCAAGCATGCTTCTGGCCAAATATCATCACCCTAGGCCTTTTGGGAAGAAGTTGTTTAAAGTAAAACGTTGACGCCGGACGGACGTCGGACGACGGACGACGGACGACGCACCATGCCATAAGCTCACTTGGCCCTTCCGGCCAGGTGAGCTAAAAATTCAAAAATTTAAAACGATCGATTTGTAACGACAACCAATATTTGCTGAACATAATTTCATCTGAATAGGATCAAATCTAAAAATCGAATAAAACATATTATAATCGGAAAAAACACAAACAAATTTCAGTAAAATTAGTATCTAAATACATCAGATTGTAAATAAATATTTGTAATGTTAAACTATGTAAATAAGAGAGCAAACTTATAAAGAGAGCTTTTATGGAATAAAACATAAAAATTGAAAATTAGAAAAAATATTTGTTTGTATTGACAACCAATGTTTTGCTTGATATATTTTCATCCAAATAAGAAATAAAATCTAAAAATTCAATAAAACTTTTTCAGTGAAATTCATATCTAGACATATAAGATTGTGTACAAATATTTGTCATGTTAAAATGTGTGAAAAAGAGAGCAAATCTTATGCAACTTTCACATTTTGTTCATTACTCCATAAAATATACAATAATACATGTGTTTCTCCATCAACTCACCTGGGAAGACAAAAACAAAACAGATCCAACTTCAACAGGTTTCATGAACAAAATATCATCAACTGCCTTTACATATGGCCGTGTTTTACTGCAAAATAATACAGGGACATTAGCAGGACTGAAAGTCTGATTACTAATAATGAAAGAATTATTTTATTGAAAACATAACTTCAAGTTAGAACTTTCATTAGCACTTTGAAATTTATTCAACCTTCAAACAATTCTTTTGGTGACAACAGTGTAACTTTCCTTATGTGTAGAAGTGTGGGTGTGGTTAGTGTGGATACAGGTACAGATAGTTTATTGGAGTCTCACCTTCCGCATACATTTATACAATGATACAATAAAATATACATAAAACATATGACGAAAGCCACTCTAAAAGAGTTACAAGAGACTAAAAATAATTTAAATGCATGTAAGGTACTTCACTTTAAAAGGAACTTGCTTTAATAGGCTATAAGAGAGAGAAGCTAATACATGCCATAAAACTAAATTGAAATATCAAACTTCAATGTACAATAATCAATGATATGTAAAATTATCACGACGTTTAAGAATAGCTGCTAGAGCTTTGGCACTATATTAAGCACAGTTCTCGTTTGATAAAACAGCATAAATAAAGGTATGCTAGATTAAGGCTACATTCCTGTATCCCGGTTGAACAGAAATAATCTACACGTGCCAAATTTTCCTGAGGTCAGCCTCGGTTCAGATCTGTGCCTGTCGTTTTCTTTACAGGTTCAACTGGTTCAACAGTATACGAAACAAGAGGCCAATGGGCCTTAACGGTCAACTGATATATCTATACAGAGAGTTGATTTTGTTTTTAACATGAACAGAAATATTATTCAAAGTGACAAAAAACAATAAAACCACCTTATTCAATATCTAGCATACAGATTTAAGACTAAAAAGTATTTGAAACTAGCACCTCTGATTCTAAACAAGGAAAATGAAGAAATTTTAGCACACTGACTCCTTTGGGTCCCACCCTACAGCCCTTGGGGATAGAGCTCGCTCAAACTTTTCAAAGTATCAAACTGTCAACTCAAGGTTATAATTCCAATCAAGTTATTAACATGTTATATTCAAAGTTTCATTTGCCATTATAAACCATAATAAAGCCCCCCCCCCCCCCCTCCTTCCCCAGGGGGTAAACGTGAGACCCTCGGGTCATAAACCTGAAGACCCTTCCATCTTTGAAGAGTGTTTGATTCTACCATATCTGGGTCTTTGAGAAGAAGATTTTTTGAAATTTCAGTCAATTCAGCCCTTTTTGGCCCCACCCATTAGCCCCGGGGGTCAGTCAGGGCTGATATGTGCATACCATCAAACTGCTACCCCATACTGATAATGCTAACCTAAATTGAACAACTTCCAATCGAAATTAAACAAATGTTGGTACAAAATGTGATTTCCCTATATAAACTATAGCAAAGTTTACCCCCTCCCCAGGGGTAAACGTGAGACCCCAGGGTCATGAAATTCACAATTTTGGTAAAGCACCTTAAGACCCTTCCATCTATGAAGAGTATTTGATTCTACCATATCTGGGTCTTGAGAAGAAGATTTTTGAAATTTCAGTCAATTCAACCCTTTTTGGCCCCACCCATCAGCCCCTGGGGGTCAGTCAGGGCTCATAGGTGCATACTATCAAACTGCTACCTAATACTGATAATGCTAACCCAAATTGAATTACTTCCAATGGAAATTAAACAAATGTTGGTCCAAAATGTGATTTCCCTATATAAACTTTAGTAAAGTTTACCCCCTCCTCAGGGGGAAACGTGAGACCCCAGGGTCAAGAAATTCACAATTTTGGTAAAGCACCTTAAGACCCTTCCATCTATGAAGAGTATTTGATTCTACCATATCTGGGTCTTGAGAAGAAAATTTTAAAATTTTAGTCAATTTGACCCTTTTTGGACCCACCCCTCAGGTCCCTGGGGTCTTGGGACTAAACCGGCCACTCTTTTTGTTGACCTTTGTCCATGGAAGGTTCCTGCAAAATTTCATTGAAATTGGTTCAGGGGTTTTTGAGAAGAAGTCGAAAATGTAAATTGTTTACGGACGCACGACGGACGACGAACGACGCCAAACAAATGGCGAACGCAATAGGTCACTTGAGACTTTGTCTGAGGTGACCTAAAAATGTACCCTAAGAGAATATTCAGAATGTGGACCTACCAATACATGGCTGCATTTGTCCAAGCTAACTCAAATGCCTTTCTCATCAAAAAGCCACCAAAAATCTTGTTATACAAATTCCTTTGCTGCAAAAACAATAATTATACATCAATGTTTAAGTCTCATCTTCATTTGAATCAACCAATATTGAAAAAAAGATAAACAACTAACAGTTATCTGATAGTAAATGCCATCACCACAATCATATGTAACACTGACTGTCTATGCCATGTATCTGGTACACTTGCATTTTGCTCATTCATGAAAACACAAATAAATCTGATAATAAAGTTCTCTATCTATGACAAGTAAAATATTCAAACAACATCAAAAAAGGTATAACGAAAAAGAAAACTGACATAAAAGAGAAAAACAATTCAGTAGTAAATAGAGAAAACTTTCAAATTTGATCTTAATCAGCAACAATTTTTCCTGAAATGACTTTAATGAAGTGAAATGAAGTCGGCTTCGTGAAATTTTATTTGATAGTAAACAAGTGACAGCTAAAGTGTGGGTCTCTGAAATCAGTGGAATATATACTTATGTTCAAAGACAATCCCATTAATAGAATAGTTTTAAACAATTAACATAAATTAAAATCAGAAGAAAAAGATATTAGAGATAAAATCATTTGTTAGACCAATAGATATATTCATCACAGTTTCATACAGATTAACAAAATGATAATTTAAATATTTCTAAGTAATAACGGAGAATATTTTGAGGTCCTAACAACTGGCTTCTCAAAAGCCAGGGAAAATGAGATGTTTTCCTGCGATGACAAACATCAGAACAACAGTGTAAGTGTACCACGTTTCCAGACCCTGCTACTACACATGTGTACAGCTACAATGATTTGTTGGTAATACCTCTGGGAAGCAGATTGTCAGATTCTTCAGTAAAGTTTTCTCCATCCACTCACTGTTGTCTGGTTTGACTCGCACTCGGAAACTTGAAGCGCTGAATTTATATTAGTTTGTTTATAAATTAAACATTAAAGTTGTTGTAAGTTAATAAAACAAAATAGCTGGACTGCAAGTATTTATACAATCTCAATTTCAAAATTATCAATAGAACTCCCTTTTTTAAAATTCTGAAAAAATGTATGTCATATCTAACAACAATATATAAGTTCTCTGGTCTACAATAATTTCGAAAATTTGCANGGGGGGGGGGGGGGGGGGGGGGGGGGGGGGGGGGTAACAAATGTCTCTCTTTGCCCAACCCCTTTAAATGTATACAATATGTATTTCTGGAACAGACAATACTTTCATGGTATATTATCAGATGCAACTTTTTGTATTTCTGTACCTTGAGTCTAACGTCTGGAGGAACAAATTGTGTATTAGCTCGCGTTCCTCCTCTGAGGGAGCAGTCTTCAGTAGAGTTCTCTCCCCTTCTAGCTGCCTCTTCACCTTGTTACCTATAAACCATTCAATAAAATTAATATAGGTACAGTAACCCTTGTCATTGCCCTGCTATAATGTACTTTACTAACTCTAGCTTGCCAGGATCAAAACTTCTGTCAGGGTACTTACCCTCTATGAGTATCAAATTGAGTACACATGTATAATGCGGAAATGTTGTTGAGAGCTATATGCCAGGTACAGATATATGGAGGGACAGAGAAAGGCAGTTTTTGTGACCAACATTTCCCATAATCTTGTTTCTCCTTTATTCCCTACTACTTATATACTACTTTAATACAAGTGACACCAGGCACCTCTATTTTCTTTTGGTGTTTGCTTTAAAATCCATAACAGATCATCCTCAATGTTCATACAATTGACGACGAGTCACTTATCAATCCTAACTTCATAGGTAATAAAACTGAACAAATTCAATTGATAAACCAGAAAAGCACAGAGTTATTTTGTTACATACTGTTACATACTGTTACTACACAGTTCTGGGTTCAGCTTTATCAATCTTCATAACATTATCATAAGATACCGTTAGTCAAGTTTTCAAATAAATATTTTCAAATTGCAATTTTGAGTATATTATCTAAACGTAATATAATCAGTGTTCATTTCCAGGACATGATTTTTTCTATCAAGTTTTATTAATCACGATGAAAAGTTTAATACTTTGAAGTATACTATGCCAATAGCTTGATACACAACTGATCATGAGTCCATGACCACAGGGCAGATCAGAAACATTTCACTTCACCGGAAATGGTGAACAACTCATAACATACTTTTTCCTAATTGGAATAATTTCTCCTCTTCAGGACCAACTGGTTGAAGTTTATTCACTGGTGCTGACCTAAATAAGAAAAAAATAAAGCATCGCGATTGGTCATAATCACTTTCTAAAATACATTTGCTACGCTGTACTGGCCTAACTCCTAGCTTATCAAATCAATTACAGTACATCATTTTCAGGACATGCTATACTGAATTTCCTTGACCATTTTTACTGTTCAAAATGTGCAATAGATTATGGCTCTAGAACCATCTATGCTAAATGGAAAGTATGACTTGTCGACTGATATACATGTATACCTTACTATACCTGATAATTGCACACCTGTCTTAATCCTCTTGTACATGTATCAGAATCAGAATACAAACTGTCCAGTGATAATACACAACTCATCAGAAACACAATACTCCTGTTTACTTACTTCTTTGTGACTGGGTTTCGGGACACCATCACAAACCTGGCTTCCAAATCATCAGAAACACAATTCTCCTGTTTACTTACTTCTTTGTGACTGGGTTTCGGGACACCATCACAAACCTGGCTTCCAGCAGTTGTCGCATTGATCCCTCGTATTCCTGCCATATACAAACACACTTCAAGATTCATCTACAAAATCCTGACTGCCCAAACCTTATTGCTAAACAAATAAAAGTTCAACAGCGCCGCTTTTGAAAAATATTTCATAAAATTTACAAATATATTTTGTTTTATCTTCCATTTTAATTAATCTTCCAAGTCAAATCTTTGCATAACTCACATACACATCATATCAAAAAACAGGAGCAAAAGAAAAATTTACTTTAATTAGATTATTTGTGTTTGGATGAATTTTGATCTCTATACAGTTTGTTGAAGTTATGATCTTCATTCTTGTTTAACATATCAAAGTCTTGTATTCAGTAGCTTCAAAACTTATTTAAGCTTTAAACAAATCTGCCAAGAAATTAATGTCAAATATTAACTGATCTCTGAATTTTCAGTAATTTTAAGAGCACATACATTAGTTTTTATGCTCAAGATCTCGGTAGCACATCATTACCTGTCCAGCTATAAATCTATTGATAAAACAAGGAGTCAGGTATAATGTATTTGTTGTTTTGACCGATCATCGAAAATATTCGATGTGAACCTACTGAACACAAGAACGGTATACTCTCTGTTATGTAATGTATAGGGAGAGGCTAGATAGAGCACCTGTTTCAGCTTCATAGTGACCTCTAGAGAGCTACTTCCTGCCCAGGTCACATGACCAGACATTAGAATATCTTTGTCTGCTCTAATAGGATGTTCCTCCAATTCTGAAACACAAAGTTTGCAGTATCGTAATAACAACACAAACATTTGCGCTACTCAAAACTCAAAACTTCTATTAATAATTGACTTCGACCTCAAAGTGCCGTTAAAGGTTACAGTGACTGTACTTGTGAATGCCTGTTATTGGGTAACATTGGTAACTGTGAGGTTTCACCACAACAAATTTATCAGTTAAGACTATTGTCCAGACATAATATCATTGGAACAAGAAGAATCAGTTTTAATACAATTAGCTCCTAAAATATTCAAGGGAGATACCAAAAGGCCAAAAAATATTACATAAAATTATATGTGATTTGTACAGGAAAACTCATGGTAAATTATTTTTTTTGTAATATAGTTCTGCGTTAGAAAAAGACAATGTCTGAAAATTTTGCATCACCAAGAGTACCAAATCACAAACTCTAGATAAGCTGTGTTTGTATGTCTGCTAACCAGCTGATTTATTCAGATGGTATCTATTTTATCTGTGTTAACACCGATTCAAAATAATCGACACAATACTATGAAACTTGTTGCATACATAGAAATTAAATATTTTGAAATTTCTGTTAATATTTCCCCTTTTCTTTTTTGTAGGAAAGGTGTTGTATTTGCTATATTTCTAATAAAGTAAACTGTGTTACCGATCCTGTCCACCAGGGCGGTCACTATGGCGATGGGAGACTTGTGGTCAGACGTTTCATCATCATGTGTGGTGTGTGTGTAACTGATCCACACTTCGAAATAGAATAATTTCAAGGGTTAAAACATTGATAGATTTCCCATACATTAAATATGATGAAGTTTTCATTTGATTATCTACTAAAATTATTGTGGAATTAGAAGTTTTCCTGTGATAATATTTTTGGGTTAATAATTGACAATATCTACAGAATTTCAATAGCTATTACCAAAAATACCTCTTACACCAAGAAACTAACAAGCTGTTGAGTTGGACACAAACAAATTTTAGCATTAGAAATTTTGGGAATTGTTTTCAATTTTTCTTTGTTTTTAAAGAAAAAACCAAGTACCAGCAAATGTATCAAGGTCCTCTAAAATCCTGCCAAAACGTATTCCATCGTAAAAATTTACATATTTCTCCCTGGTATCAGGGTTTGATCCAAGGGGGATAACTGCCTCTTGGTAACTGTCTTTCATTGTTCGCACTGGTAGGTCATCTTGTGAGAGGGACATTTGTTGCTGGCCAGCAGCTTCTATCTGCTGCGGTCTGTACAAAAGCAAGGGTACTATTTTTTTAAGTCAACCTACATAGGCTCTTATTCAGCTAAACTGGAAATGAAACAGGAAAAATAGTGTTCCTACTGAGAGCTATTCCAGAAATAGATATATGAGGGGAAAATAGGGGAAGAACCATGCCAGGGCCTACTATATAAAATGGTAACGAATACTTCAAAAGCCAACGTCCATATTTCATCAATATCAATGTCTCCCTGCCTTGCTGGTTATGTAAATATTTCAATGTATTATTTTAGGTCATATCAAAATTTATGAAACTTGTCGTAAAATGACCCTTACTTTTCCATTTGTTGATTAAAATCTGTAGATATGTGCTCGATTTCAGGGCTGTTCTGATATTCTTAAACAGTGGTATAAACATTTTCACCATAAGACAGGGGGCGGAGACCTACAAATGTAACCTCCCTGCAATAGGGTCAACTCCAGTGTGGCAGTAGTGATCCAGGGGTGGACACCTAATGGTATACTAGTTCTCATGGTGGCAGGTCAACTAAAAACAAAAATGGATGAGCAACAACACTGGATTATATTTCCTTGACTTTACCCACAGTGCTGACATGTGTCAGCCTAAATGAGGCTGTCATCAGAGCACAGCTACACGTCTGTTTCTTACAATGAACAGGATACAGTGGTGTTGTTGCTCATCCTTCCTTTTTCATTTTCACCACATGGCACAAATTTCATTCAAAATGTGAGCAAAATGTATACCTAAGATCGCCTTTCTATACTTACTTCCATATCTTTTGAGCTCCTACAAGTTTTTGTAGCATTTTTCTGGCTGGAATATGGAAAATGGAAAAGTGAATAAAACAACAAAGAAACTGCAGTGCGTTTTTGAGGAGTCTTATTTCGGACTGAAATTTAGTTCCATTATAGATGGCATATAGTGGGGTCTCCCTAATTTTTATTGAAAGTTCCCGAAACCATAATCATAATTCTATTTTTCGAAATGTTTATGATGCTCTGGAGAAAAAAAATTCAGACACCAATTTAATATAGTCATTTAGATGTCTCTAATAATATTTAAGTGGACACCTGTTTTAGGGTGAATCAGTATATTTTATAACTATTACAGCTTATATAAGGATAGGGGGTTCCAATAACAACACAGCTCGGACGTCACCAGTTGGAGTGGATGTTTATTATGGCTGACTAGTTTTGACTCTTCAGCGAGTCTTCATCAGAACCTTATATTGCCATATCCTACCCATTACCCTGCATACCATTTCGTATCCGCACTCAGAGCCAAGCGCCCCACTGATCAACCCATATTATAACTCACACGACATTGGCTCTACTATTTCGATTTTATGTTGTAATTTTTAGTAACAAGATTTGTCAATGGTCAGTTATGGAAAACCTACCAATTTCTAAAATTTGTTTATATGAGTGTCCTTTGTTATCATTAAGACAAGACTAGCATTTCTCCTGTGTCATATGTATATGAAATAATTTATGATTCAATGTTATGTAAGGTTATTTTTATTGAGACATTATTTTTTGTAAGACTTTTTTCAACAAATCCATATACTGAAGTATATTCACAATTTGTTTAGAATATTTTATCGCAAAGACATTTATTGGGTTCTCAAAATGTGGATGAGCCGCACAGACAAAAGCATGATTGTGTGACTCAAAATAACTGTGTCCCAAACACAAGGACATATCACATGCTGTATAATATATTGGGACTCATTTATATCGTCTGTTTATATATAGCATGTGGCATGTCCCTGTGGTCCCAAAAACCACTGTGATAGGATTCTATTTGTCCTGATTTTAATTACAGACATTAACAAGATATCATTCTTTGTCCTGATTTACCCTGTTTTATGGTGAGGTAGTCTTGCTGATGGCTGGAGGAACACAGACATACAGCGGAAACATGTTGATGGGGACATATCTTCAGAAGCTGTACGCTCTGCACAGTCCTCGGCAGTATCCGGTAACTACAACATATACAAAGGTTTATAAACCAGGACCAATAGGGGTTGATATTTTAAAGAGTCTTCACCAAACCTAATACCAAATTATTGTCCCGAGAAAACATATGCGTTTGGTGTTAAAAGGATATCTGGTATATATTTCAACATGTTTGCCATATGCATTACAGCAATTATTGCATTGATTATTCGAGGCACTTTTGATCCGAAATAACGCTATATATATTGTAAAATCTACACTGTACAGTAGACCTCTACTGAAATTTAATCAGGGTTAATCCGGTAATGCTACAAATAGTTTGGATGGTTTTTAGCTTTTCTGTGAAGATAATTAAACAAGCAATATATTTGTCATTTTTATATATATTGGTGTTTATAGTAAGGGATACCGCACAGACGAATACTAATTACTATAATATCTAAGGAACAAGTACCCTGTGTATTCACAGGGACCTAAGAACATATAACAGGGTGTGTTTTGGCATCCCGTACATATCCCTATCATATATTCGGGATGGTGTTTTAACGAGTGCTGGTATAAACTGGGGAAACGTCTCATACTAATTTCATCCCTACGTATCAGGCTATTCGTGCTTAGGTTAATGAGAATATGAGACTTCGGCCTAACCATCTAAATGCTACAGCAGCCCCGCCGAGCAGGTGCCCCCACCGCCCTCCTCTTTTCCCCAGACTCCTGTCTTGCACATGTTGATTGAGCACATCAATAGACTAGCATACACAAGTCTACAGCGATTGTTGGTAGGATCATTTACAGTACATAATTTTATTACGCGCACACGCATATTGTACATTACTACATACCACACTTTCCAAACAGACATTTTCTGCATTTGTCAACAAAACCGGAATGCCTCAGTTTTATTCGAATGAATGTAGAACATTCTAGAGAAGTATCGAGTGGCAAGTGAAGGGCGTAGTTCACCATTTGTCTAGATCATGATCATGGTGAGCAAAATTCGACTACTTCAAACTGGTTTATTAATTAATTCATTTATTATTGTGTGATATTTGCCATGAGAAAGTTAGGTTTAAAAGTTTGAAACAATAAATATACCAAAGTGGCGATTTTTAAGCTCGACTCGTAAAAAATAAGAATGTAAATCTTGCGTTAACACTAGATGTAGACAATTTTGAGTTGGTAACAACTTACAGAGTGGGGAAAAAACGAAAGAAAATGTCAGACCCCTTATAGCAAAGTTGGGCAGCCGGAACCAAAGGAAGTCTCTTCTAGAGAATGCTAGAAAAATATCAGCAAAAGCTGAAGAACATCTCCGAAGGGTAATACTTTTGAGGGACCTGACTAAAGAGCAAAGACAGGAACAACAAGACAAAAGAAGAAACAAACGAACACTGGCAACACCCGACGACAGGACGACTGGGCAGGTAGTTGATCCTATGGAAGTTGAGACCATATTAGATGCCCCCAGTGAGACCAACACGGATTTGAATGTCGGGGTGGAGGACCGTACCATTGGGGATATGAGCCCCATCGCCAACATGGTCTTAAATAGTCAGCTAACGGCTATAAGACGACCACCCTCAAGCCAGGAATCGATGCTTGACCCCGATGATACCGTAATCGGTGGTCTGCAAGTTTCACAACAGTCCAGGAATGTAACCAGTCACTCTCACAACTCTTCAAACCCATAGGATGTTGGTTTTAATGGTTTTAAAGTTTTTAACACTGATGGCCTAAATGTTTTTTACACTAACGTGGACACACTGACTGTCCCAAAGATGGAAGAACTAAAACTTATTGTCGAAGAATCAAAGCCAGACATTATTGCATTAACTGAGATCCTCCCAAAAAACACTCTATTCGATCCTTGGACCAGAAATTTAAATCTCGAAGGATACAATCAGTTCAACAACAAAGATAAAGATTTCCGCAGAGGTGTAGCCATCTATATAAGGGACAATTTAGACGTAATCAGTTTGGATGACGAGTTGAACTACCAAGAAGCTGTATGGTGTAAAATAACACTCAACAAATCTGATTCCCTTCTATTGGGTTGCGTGTATAGGAGTCCCAACTGTGATGGAGAGAACTTCACTCAGCTCAGTGAACTGTTTGGAAAGGCTAATTCAACCTCTCATTCTCACCTTCTTATCTTGGGAGACTTTAACTTTAAGGAAATCAACTGGAAGGAAAATACTACTGATGTCAACGAACAACATGTATCTTCAAAATTCCTAGAACTAACCCATGATTTCTTTTTATATCAACATGTGTTACATCCTACAAGACTCAGGGAGGGGAACATTCCATCAGTTCTAGACCTCATTCTAACAAATGAAGAGAATATGATTGACAGTCTGGAATATAAAAGCAGTATTGGACCTAGTGACCATCTATCGTTAGTTTTTAAATTTGTATGTTACACCGAAGACAAAGTTGGAGAAAAACCAAGACTAAACTATTTTAAAGCTGACTATGCAGTAATTAGGGAGGAGCTTTCAAAAGTAGAGTGAGGTGTCATGAATATTATGGATCTTACCGAATCCTGGGAATTCTTTACTGAAATAATATCTAAAGTTGTTAAGCCAAATATACCAGTGAGTAAAGGACGAACGGGAAAAGGAAAGGACCACCATGTTCTCGACAGGAAGACTCTTGAAGCAGTCAAGATAAAAATATGGAAAAAAATATATACACTGTAAAACTGCTTCAAACTTCACATCCTACCAAAAAGCAAGGAATTTAGCAACAAGGGCTATTCGAAACAACACCTACAACCATGAGGAATTACTAGCTAATAAAATAAGAACTGAACCGAAACCATTTTGGAAATATGTCCGCAACAAGGTCAAGACAAAAGAGAAGATAACTCAACTGGACAAAGGGAACGGAGAACTCACCAAGAATGACCTAGAAAAGGCCGAGGTCCTAAATAACCACTTCGCTAGTGTTTTCATAGATGATGGGCAAGAACCACTTCCCCAATTCCAAGATCACTCCCCAAATAGGGAAATAAGCAGGATTGAGATATCAGAGGAAAAAATATTCAAAGCTATTGGCAGGCTGAAAGTAAACAAAGCGGCTGGTCCTGACAACATACATCCCAAATTCCTAAAGGAGACCGCAGACCAAATCAAGATCCCACTTAAATACATCTTTAAAAAATCAATAGCAGATAATTGTCTTCTGAAATCCTGGAAACAAGCTAATGTCACACCAATTTTTAAAAAAGGGAACAAGAAAGATCCAGGGAACTATAGGCCCATTAGCATTACATCAATTGTGGGCAAACTACTCCAGCGAATCATAAGAGATGAAATAATGGGACACATGGACAACAACCTTTTCTCTAAAGAGCAGCACGGCTTTAGAAGTGGCATGTCCTGCACCACACAATTATTGGAATCAATTGACGACTGGACAGAAGCTATTGATCAAAACAAGCAAGTGGATGTCATTTATTTGGACTACAAAAAGGCCTTTGATAAAGTACCCCACAGGAGACTACTACACAAAGTCGAGGGATATGGCATCAAGGGGGACATACTGGGCTGGATTACAGACTTCCTGAAAGATATGGAACAAAAAGTTGTGATCAACGGTTGTGAATCTAGTACATGTCAAGTCACAAGTGGATTCCCCCAGGGCAGTGTGCTGGGGCCAGTCCTATTCCCCATCTATGTTAATGACCTACCTGAGGTCATTCATAACCTGACCAAAATGTTTGCAGATGATACAAAGATATATCGTGCAATGGATCCAGGAGATCAGGGGCAACATCTTCAAGAGGATCTTCACCGTTTGAACAACTGGACGAGAACATGGATGATGGAGCTAAATTCTGACAAGTGTAAGCACCTAAAATTACACCAAGGAGCTTTAAAATGTGACACTTCATACAGCATCATCAAACAGGGGGAAGTTCACAAACTCCAATCTGTTGCCAGTGAAAGGGATCTAGGGGTGACTANAAAAAAATCTGGGGCTACGCCCCACACATCCCATACGGCATCCTAGCAAATATTGTGGGTTTCCGTTATCTGATATTTTTACTTTTTTTTCTTTATTAAAACAATATTTGTTGGCATCGCTACGCTCGTCTACTTTGTATCTTGACCCTAAAGTGTGTTTTTTATTTTACCACCTCCGCAAAACCCCAAGTTGCAACTTGCAACGCTCGGCGGAAATATACTAGCATAAGTTGCATAATTATGTTATTGACCGCTCGTTATAGATGATCTGAACATTAATATTTTTATTGTAATCTTTCTAACCGCCCGGGCGATATTAATCATATCATTATACAAGAACGATAAAGGTTGATCGACTAAACATATCCATTCAATTATTTTGGTATTATATAAATTGTTGGAACTGTGTAACTATCTTGTTTGTACAACATAATATCTCATTGTGGTACTTATAGCATACCATCGTGTGCGTACAAGAAAGTATCTTCACACAGCATACTATTGTGTACGTAGTAATAAGTTGTACGTACCAGAATGAGATGATATGCTGTACTTACAAGTATGATAATTTTAAATTAAATTTAAAGGTGACGCGTATGTGCCTCCTAAGTTGTACCATTTTAACCAGATAGCTTAGCAAATGTACCACTGTTGGTAATATGCACGCCTTTACATGAGTTAATCAGCGTGGATATTTCAGATATATCATTGTCTACACTAATGAATTAGTCAACAATTATAAAACGCGAGACTATATATCTAGTGGCCTTGGGTATCGCACTGATTTGAACTTATCCGTTTGTTTAGCAACTTAGTGATGCCATGAGTAACTCATTAATTAAACAGCAACGATGTTATAGTGTTATTTGTTCTTTTGTACGACAAACTAATACATGAAGTACTGTACTGTAGGTACAATGTCTGAAGACTAGATATTGTGCGTCCCTACATTCATTTTTTGACGGTGGACCTCTCGTATCCCCCTTGCGGGCGGGACGCCAAATTAGGTAATAATGAACAAGCCCCCTGTGGAGATTCATACATTTGTCATCACCAGGTTGCCCCTAGAATAATACCATCTGACTTCTAAAACATGCTGTTGATAGAGAATTTGAACCGAAACTTGAATTTTCTTTCCAGTACACGCTTCTGAGACGTTCTAGAAAACAGATTTTTTGGGGGGAGATCCCCCAAACCCACCCCCTCCCGTACCCTCCCCCTACTCGCTGCCTTCACACCGTTGACTGTTGAGAAAAAAATCTCGGCCCCCCCTTTTATGAAATCCTGGATCCGCCCCTGTATGGTACGAGGGAAAAAGGGTTGTCGTAAGTACCTGTGTTCTACATGAGAGTGTTTGATGAGTTCCGGTGTGCGTGTCTTGTGAAATTAAATGAAATTCAAGAAGCTTACCACTTATTCATATCACATAAAAATCGAGCAAATTTCAGATATTAGAAGATATATTAAATCAGAGACGTATATATTACATGTCTATATTCAAAGTTCTGACATAAAAAAACTTAAAACACGGAAGAAAAGAGAAAGTTTGTGAATTCTATTTACTAAATATAACTACTCCAGAGCCAAAGTAATTTTAAAACTTTGATATAACTCTTAACCCCCATACAACGATCTAGCTCATGCGCACTTTGTAATACAGGATATATATAGAACAAGGTAAACTGAAGCGATTGAAGAATGACTGTACTAGGTATTAAAATGTTAATGTTTGAAAAATTGGATTTAAAAAATTAAATGATATTTGAAACTGCCAATAATACGATTTGTTATCAGCTAGTGACAGCCTGTCCAGGGCGTTTCTCAATAAAGTGTTATTGCGTATCCAAACATTTTTTCAGTAAATTGTTAAAATATTTTTAAACATCTCCATTACTCACGCAATAATCTACATGTATTTCACGCAGGGGTGAGAGGAGGTTTGGTGGCTCGATTGTCACCGTGTACCACACAAAGACCGATGCTACAGCGCAGTCAAGTCAAGGACAAAATCACCAAAAATATCACACAAGGACAAAATAAACCAAAGTGTCAACAAAAGTCATCAAAAGCTTCAACATACAATTACAAGTTTAGAACTCAAAAGTGGATACGAAATATAAGAGAGTGAGCTGCAGAGAAACGAACACAAGGAAAGCGATCTATATATAAATCTCTACAAAAACGTCAGGTAACACCAGGTGTTCCGGTAGGTTTTATAATCATTAATTGTTTGCAGCAGCGCATTTCGTAAGATGTCTCCAGTCGAATACAAGGCAGTTTGTCACCAACGATCAAAGAAGCGGGGAGCATGTACCCATCACTAGACATCGGGTTAATACGAGGATAATTTACAGTCATATCAGCGGAGATTGAATAATTTCCGGTAAATAAAAAAAATAAAAACACTTTGACTATGCAATTTCTTTGTCAATATAACTCATTTGTTCGAAAAAAATGACAGTTTGAGAGTGTTTGCTATCGCTGTTTCTCAGAAAGTACTACATGATGCAATAAGTGATGTTATGACTTTCAATACCCCAAATTAAACAAACGGACACAATCCAATTATCATAGAACTAATGAGGATCTTCCAATGTTGGGATCCCCCGTCTGTGTATAGGCAAGGAATACCAATATACCATTCAGACTGTTCCATTTTGACTATTTGTATCAATTTTTAGATGTTCAAGTTCAAGATGTTTTGCATAATGTGTATAATAAAATAGATCGCCAATAGTTATGCGCGTGCACGATGAGCAGGGAGCTTTGTATGATCGCAGATATCAGACAACTACCAACAAGAGCCTTTATGAACGATATAATGGTAAAAACAAAAACATACGACGAACCCTTAGGAACAAAGACAGGACACAAACGTCATTTAAACCAGCCAATATACTGTCGTATCTTTTTGAAGGATTACAAGTTAGGTAAATGAGGAACGGCTGAAGATAACTGGGATCGACATACCGACTGTAAATGAGGAACGGCTGAAGATAACTGGGATCGACATACCGACTGTAAATGAGTAACCAATGATAGTATTGGAAAGTGTTTCGGCAGCACTCTGATCAATAGTTTTCATGTAGTTATCATGTAGTGTCGACGTCGACGTAAGCTGATCCAGCCTCTTGAGGCGCATCTTGATACTGTTCTCTAATCACGTTCGGTTGTGAGTAACAGGTTGGTACACATTTTTTGGTGATGATGACGCCAGTGATTGTTTAACCGAGCTTTAAAACTATTTAAGGAGAGGGCCTCTACAACTATATTTGGTAGAGAGTTCCACACGTCCACGACCCTACTGCTGTACATGTTCCTCGTTACATTGAGCCTCATCCTTCTCTTGAAGAGTTTTTTGGAGTTTCCTCTTGTTGTAGCCAATGTTGCCATTTTAATAATTTTGTCCTTGTCCAGAATGTCAATGCGATACAAGATTTTGTAAGTTTGTATGACATCTCCTCTCAATCGTCGGTACTCTAGAGTGGGGAGGCCCAACATACAAAGTCTCTCACTGTATGATTTTCCTTTTAGGAACGGTAGGCGTCTTGTTGCCCTGCGTTGGACATTTTCAATGGCAATTTGATCCTTTTTGAGCATTGGAGACCATATGCAGGTGGCATATTCCAAGTGTGGCCGCACTAAACTTTTAACAATTGAATAAACATGTCTTTGTTTATAAATGTAAATGACCGAAATATTAGTCCGAGGATTCTGTTGGCTTTAGAGACACACTCGTTGACATGGTCAGTAAAATTTAGTTTGTGGTCAAATATAACTCCTAAATCCTTTTCTTTGATCACTTTATCAATGGTTACTTCGATATGTCAATTTTTTGTTGTATAAGCCGAGTCTATATTTTGATTTCCTACTGACATGTGTTTACATTTTTTCCCATTTAGTTTCATGTTCCAGACTTTTGTCCAGTCACATAATCTGTGGATATCGTCTTGTAGAGTATTCCTATCATCGTCGTTCGAAATTCCGGAGTACAATTTTGTGTCATCAGCAAATAGTTGAATTATGGATTGTACGACTTCCGGCATATCGTTGACAAATATCAGGAATAAAAGAGGTCCTAGGACGCTCCCTTGTGGGACACCGCTGGTTACATTCCTGGTATTAGATATTTCACCATTGATCACTACCTTCTGCTTCATTCCGCTTAGAACATTTTCTATCCATTGGAGTAGCTTCCCCTGGATCCCATATTGTTCTAGTTTAAACAGTAGCCGTTTGTGAGGGACAGTGTCTAGAAGATGTGCAAACAGCCGAGTAAGTGGATGAAAATCTTCGACCGATGTCGGCTTCCAAGAAAGTTCAAGGCATAAAAAACTACACTACGTACTTAAAGCACTCTTATTGCCATTGCTTGTCAACGAATACCACTTCCTTCAGTAGAGTCACTGAAAAGAGATTTTTGTGCATGCATGGGTCATTGGTTGGTCGTACCGCGCAGCTTTAGCACTGTAAATTTGTACATCTCGAAGATCAAAATCCATCTGTCACACAATCAAGTGACGGGTGAGTTTAATGGGACGAAAGTGCTTCTGATTATCATGTTGATGACAAGTTCACGAGAGCAGGAGTTGCTAATTATGGGATGCTGAAACAATCAGTGAATGAGCCGGAAGAAATATTAAGGCATATGGACATCGTCGTAAGAACTATTGCATCAGAGCGCCTAATGCTGTGATCAGTCTCTAGACCTAGATTGGACAGTGTCAGCCAATGGATTGGGCAGAGATCATGATGATGGAAGAAGAGGCTAAGCAGATACGGACCGTTGGCATGGGCAAACAGCACAATTGGCTACGTTGGGAAGGCGAAAGTGAGTTGAGCGCTTCAAGGGTCGACACTTTGATGATGGAGGGGTACAGTTAGATTTTCTGTTGAGGTCTACGTATAGTGTATACGTAGCCCACCGAATCTGTTTTCCTGACGGCTAAAGACAAGCAAAGCAGGTTTACTTTGCGAATGATCAATCTATCTGCACATGTGCTTTAATCATAAACAAATACACACGGGGACAGTCAATATACAAACTGCTATGATAATGATAAGGTCCGCAAGGAGATCAACGAGATTCTTGATAATGCAAAGCGGAAGGAAAAATGGTCAAGAAAGGGCAAAAGGTTGCTATTTTTGTGCGGGCGGTGACTAAAGGATAGTTTGGTGGGAAACAGGATACTGTCAGCAGTAGGTGACTTGGATATGAGGGTAAACATTCACTAGAGAATGGGGTTTCCAGCAGAGGTGGTTGTTATTCAACTCCCCGCAGACACTGTGTTCTGGTCCAAAATTTCCAAGCAGATCCTTATGGTAGGACTTAGGGTACAGTTAGCGGATAGGAAAGGATAGACATCTGTAAAGAAGATGAAGATGTACCAACAAGGTTGGAGATTATGGTGTATTCAAGTACAGTTGGGATGCAGAAAGTTTTGATCACTTTGCAAAATGTTGAAGTTGCTGAGCGTTGTAGAAGCTCGAGCTGGCAGGTTGAGGTAACATCGAGCTCGATATGGAGATAGAGGTAAGAGGTTTTGGCTGGTCACCAGCAATAGTGCTTGACATGAAGAGTAATACAACACTGCACATTACCACCCAAGTGTGATATAGGAGGAGGTCCTAGGAGGAGGAGGTGGAGGCGGAGGTGGAGGAGGAGGAAGAAGAGGAGGAGAGGAGGAGGAGGCTGCAATAACATCATGGCAGTAGACTAAGACTCCAATCAACAAAAGCAAGAGACCTCCAGTCCTTGGCTTGGACTACCTTTCAGAGGAGTCGGGATGACGCCAAGTAGAAGCCAAAGTGACTTGCAAAGTCGGATTATCCACCTGATCATGGCCAGCTATGAACTATTGATGGTAGAAGTTCCATGTTGATGTTTTCTGTTGTTTTCTTATCTCTGTCGGATCGGTAGTCATTTCACGTGGGTAATATTGATCAAATCTTTGCCTTTCAAATAACAATATGTAAAAAAGACAGGAGGAAAGAATTTATGTGGGATTCAAAATGTCTGTCTTGTGGCCGTCTATTTTTCTTATCAAATATGATTTAAGATATGCTCAACAAAGGAAATAGTAGGAGCCTAGCTACGGAATGTGGGAATAATGCATCCGTCTTTCATTGTCAAATTAAGGATGACCTCCTGGTAGTCATCTCTTTCTTGCGATCTGTCACAAAATGTATTATACATAATTAAAGACCGACGAAATCCTACTTGTTAAACATGATTCATTCCATTATCTTTCGAGAAATACCGATCGTTAACATTTAAACTGTTAGAGTCCAAGATTGTCGCCTGACTGGTGGCAACAGACAGATGGGAGACTCCAGGCCCCTGAAGAAAATGATTTGAATAGTCCTACATTTAGGCACTAAGATGGAGAAGCTGAGTGGCCTGGAAGCCAATAAATTGAATTATTCGATATACAAAGCGGCTACTTTTAAAATCTAAGTTGGCATCCTTACAGTGTCAGGATGAGGTGGCTTCTTACTGACACGTTTTCAAATTTGATATTTGTGTCCGATATGTCCCTATCATTTTGCTAAGCCGTCTTGTTAATTTCTTGTATGTCAATATAGCCTTGTCAACCTATATATAACATAAAGCTTGTCAATAGACCCATATATATGTATGTTAAATACCCGTATGTAAATGAACTTGTATGCACTTATACTCTTTTGAAAATATACCCATAAATAAATAGACCCGTATGTCGATAAACCCGTATGTTAATATTCCAGTATGTCAATATACCCGTTTGTGAATAAAACCCTTATGTCAATATATCGATATGTCAATATACCCGTATGTCAATATATCAGTATGTCAATATACCCATATGTCAATATATCAGTATGTCAATATACCCATATGTCAATATATCCATACGTTAAAAGACCCGTATGTAAATAAAACCTGCATGTCAGTATATCAGTGTGTCAATATACCTATATGTCAATATATCAGTATGTCAATATACCCATATGTCAATATATCAGTATG